AAAGATAAGTAACGTCGAGAAAGCGGAGTTTGAGCTGAAGTCCTTGTTCTCCAGATACACCGCCCAAGTAGTAGCCGCCGCTGGTTTCGGCGTGGATGGATACTGTTTTGATGACGAGAAAAAGGATATATCTTTCCGAAAACTCGGACAAGCCATTTTTGAACCGTCCACACGAAATAAAATTATGTTCGCTCTCTTGGTCTTTATTCCATCGTTAAACAAAATCATTAAAATGAATTTTATTCCAAAGAGCGTAGACCATTTCTTCAGGACATTGGTTGCGGATCTCATGGAGCAAAGGAGAAAAGATGGCATACCTAGGAACGATTTTCTCCATTTGATGGCCGAACTGGAGAGAGCGGAGGGCAAGAATTTCGACACTGAAATGCTCACGGGACAGGCGATGTCGTTTGTACTCGATGGCTATGAAACCTCTAGCACTGTTATGAGTTTCACCGGCTTCTATTTGGCCAGTTATCCAAAAATACAGGAGAAATTACGCGAAGAAGTGTTGTCCGTGCTTAACAGATACGACGGTGAAATCACATATGAAGGTTTGAGGGAGATGACATACATGGATCAAGTCTTCAACGAATCGATGAGAATGGTACCCGCAGGATTGGTCTTGAAGAAACGATGCACGGAAGAATTTGAATTGAAAGGCTCGGATGGAGTTGTCTGTCGCGTGCAACCCAGAACTGCGATCATGATACCGGTTCAAGCTTTTCACAAGGATCCTCAATACTGGGAAAATCCCGAAGAGTACAATCCTGAAAGATTCAGCTCGGACAGGAAACACAGCATCGAGAGATTCGCCTATCTTCCCTTCGGCGAAGGTCCGCGAATCTGCGTGGGGATGAGAATGGCCCAGCTACAGATGAAGGCAGGTCTGGCTACAATTCTGAAAAAGTACAGCATGGAACTATCCCCGAGGACGCAAAAACCTTTGAAGATGATTCCTGGAACCCTTCTACCAACACCAAAAGGTGGTCTGTGGGCCTACTTTAGACGCCTTTGAGCACGAATATCTTCTTTTAAATTTTTTCCGAGCTTTTATTGCATAAATAATTTTTTATGTTTAATAAAAAAAATTTCTGTATTTACAAAATGGGGTTGTCTTCAAATTTAATTAGTTTTAATTACTGCATTTATGTTTATATAATAGTAAAAGAGATGTTACTGCAACAGAAACTGTTGCTTGAAATACTTTTTTATTG